CGCAGACGCTACAGCTTTAGGCTATCCACAAAATCCAAAAGACTTATCTGTAGATGTACAATTTCGCCCATTAACCCAAAAGAATAAAGAAGACAGTATAATGTATTTGAGAGACCAAATAGGAGACTCCTCCCCTTCAAAGGATCTCCGATTTATCTCGAGCCACAAGCCCCACTAAATACAAAGGGGGGTGGCCCTCCAAGCATCTCTGACTTGGCTCTCCACTATACACCCTTTCCAAGCATCTAAAATATCAACTGTTGACTCAGGAAACACCCAAGCCACACCAAAAGCAACAAAGAACATTGGCCTAGATATCCCTCACCACAGGGCAGTGAAGCAAAAGGTGATTCATAGATTCCTCCGATCTCTTACACATGCAACACCAGTTCACCACAACCTGATGTCTCCTTCTAAGGTTGTCGATAGTGAGGATACTCCCAAGCATAGTTGTTAAAGGCTTAAGGCGCACTAAGGTGCCAAAGGTCTTCTGGAGTCTAAGCGCAAGGCGCAGTATAAGGCACGAGCCTGATCGAAGTAAGGCGCGTGTATATAATAATGCATATGTAAACATATGTTATTATATATGTTTATAATCAAGTCGTAATTGCGGTTAATGAAAGTAGTGAACCATAAATTTATGAATTTTACCAAATATTTCATAAGGTTAAACATTATGACATATGATATATAACCTTTTAATTTAGTGTTTTAGTGGTCATTAAGTAAAAAAAAAAAAAAAAATTATATGAATAAATGATTAAAAAATAGAAGGCGCGCCTTTTTTGAGCCTGAAGCGTACTAAAAAGCGTGAGCCTGAGAGCCTGATTGAAGGGGCCTGGCTTGTAGTAGGTTGAGGCACTCTAGCTGAGCCTTGACGAGCTTGGGGCTTTTTTGGAGCCTAGGCGTGCCTTTAACTTCTAAGGGCTGCAGACCCTGCAAAAAAAGCCACCTTCAAAGGCGCTTTCGTCTTCCAAACAGCTCTCCAAGGGAAAGAGGGGCCAGGGATCTCCATAAGACTTTGATAAAAGGATCTAACCTCAAACTCCCCCCTCAAGGATCCCTCTCACACCATTTCTTGTATTATTATACAACATAGTACTCCCTCCATCCCATATTAGATGTCTATGTTTATAATTTGAAGTTTATAAGGGGACATGCAATTAATGCATTGTCCCTTTTTAAAATTATCAACTTGTCCTTTTTAGTTCAAATATGTATAGTTACCAAGTTTGAATTTTTTTGAAATTTAAAGGACAATGATGGAAAGATAATAGTTATTTGCTTTGACTTTTTTAAGGGGCCATACAAAAATTGGAATAGTGGACTACTAATATGGGACAGAGGTAGTAATACATATATGCACATTCGCACTTATAAACACATATATATATACATATATATATATATATATAACTATTAACTATATATGTAAATAAATCTAGGGTCTGAGTGTTTAGATAATTTCTGAAAAAGAAAAAGCATTTAGATCATAGCAAGAGAGAAGGATAGGGAAAGAGATAGTGGATAGATGTTATACGGGTTTGTTGGATTGTATCTGCAATATATGTGTGTACATTGTAAATTTATGCAGATCATTCATGTTTTGATAGAACAAGCTTGAACTTTAATTTGCATGAGAACGAAAATAATTATAATTTTATTTGACATTAGATTAAGATTCTATTTTTAATGTATGTTATATGTTTCCAAATAACTTAATTATAAATTTTGGGCACATGTTATTGGCATATTGGCTCGTGGAAAAATCGAGATATATCATCACAGAACTGTTGTGAAATTTTCTTGTGAACCACATTTGAAATCTGTAGAAACGTACAATAAGTTGGGGGAAATCGATGAAGCAATGAAATATGTGGTTATTCATAGACTTTTTATATGATATTTGCCAGGTGGGTGGTGTATTTTATTATCATTATTCTGAAAGGAAAGGTTCTTGATTATTATTATTATTATTTTTAATTTTTATTTTTGAAAGGTTGTGGGTGGTGTATTGTATCTCTGAACTGTAACTCTCTTCTGAGGTGTGTTTTCACTTGGTGTTATAAAACCGTACTGTTTTCAGGCACGGTAGTTATTTGATTTCCCAGATTGTCTTGCTTTTGGAATTCATAACAGAATTCCAATGGGCATCGTCACTTAAAATGGCTCCTATGAGGGTAATTAAGTAAATTTACATCTGAAACATGTCTTTTTGCAAGTCGAGGGATAGTCAAGGGTATCCAAGTCATTTTACATGGTGTCAAACCTCTCACACCATGTGCAGGTGATGACAAGGGGTGTTTGTGTAAGATGGAGCATACGTTTGGGGTCTCTGTGTTAGCTAAAAACAAATTCTCTATCTATGTGTAATATTGGCAAACCTCACGGAGTCGGGGTGTCAGTGTGATTAACCCTATTGAAAAAAAATTACAAGAACATTGATGAATGAAATAAATTGCGTAAAATTCCAATATAAAATTACCTACCCAATACTGTATCGTGTGTTATCAAATTTGAAAGCTCTTCAACCTGTTCAAAGACTATGAAAAGATGATGCAAACTGAACAAAAATTTAGAAAACTCTTGAAATGCAAATTCTTGGAATTATGTTGCTTTTTGACCCTTTTAATTTAGATGAAAGGAGAGAAGGAAAAATGGAAAATTTAAAATCATTGAAGAAACATATGAGTAAATTATCTAATTAGTGGGCAACTCAAATGGTTCTAATGACTGCCTCTTGGTGTCAATTTAACCATTTTCATTACTTAGTTTTGAATAAATAGTAGACAAGTAAATAAATACAAATCAATAATTTCATGAAATTACAATTAAATAAATAATATAGGCCAATAATTTTTTTTTTTTTTATAAGTAAAATTTCATTGAAGAGCTGGAGCGCATCCCATATACAAAAAGAAGGGCCAACAAGCCCGCCATACTTTCAACATATCCACAAAATTCATTATATCCCTGAAAAAATATAATTCGGACCTTGTACACCAAAAAGTAAAGAGAAGTAAGAATGGAGAATTTAAGTGCCCATAATACTGCCTCCTTTTGATCAAAGGATCTCCTGTTCCGCTCTCTTCACATGCCCCACCAAATGCAAATTGGTGCCACCCTCCAAGCGTCTCGGGCTTGCCTCAGTATACAACCTCTCCAAGCCCCAATCAAACTCTTTGGGGACTCCGGCAGGATGCAATGGACACCAAATAGAGCAAGAATCATACCCTAGCTATCCCTTGCCACCTGGCATTGCAAAAGAAGGTGAGCAACTGAATCCTCACCTCTTACATATACATCAGTTGACTATAATCTAACGTCTCCTCCTCAGATTGTCAATAGGTAAGATCCTCACAAGCACTGCTGTCCAACTGAAGAAGGCCACCTTAGGGGGGAGCCTTGGTGCGCCACATTGCCTTCCAAGGAAATGAAGGCTTGTGAGCATCCTCCAACCTTCGATAAAAGGAGTGCACTGAAAAAATCCCGACTCAACCCCATCCACTGCCACTCATCAAGGAGTGCACGCACTGAAAAAATTCTCCCAAGCTCTATCATTTACTTTTTGATTCTTTTCCCTTGTGATAAAATCACACATTTTTCTTAGTATTAAGATCATTCATCAAAATCCCACTTTCATCCCCGCTCTGGCAGCAGCTACCCCATCCATTTATTCACATACTCCCTGTCTCGAATTAAAAGTCCACTTTGGGAAGTGTTGACTCACAAAATTGTATCTCACAGTTCCCAAAGTGGACTTTTAATTTGAGACAGAGGGAGTATTAACAAAATCCTGACTCAACCCCATCCACACTGCCACTCACCAAGGAGCGCACTGAAAAAATTCTCCCTAGCACTACCATTTACTTTTTGATTCTTTTCCCTTGTGTGATAAAATCAGAGTATTCTTAGTGTTACGATCATTCATCAAAATCCCACTTTCATCCCCGCTCTGGCAGCATCTACCCCATCCATCATTCACATATTATCAAAATCCCGACTCAACCCCATCCACTGCCACTCACCAAGGAGTGCACTGAAAAAATTCTCCCAAGCACTACCATTTACTTTTTGATTCTTTTCCCTTGTGTGATAAAATCACACAGTATTCTTAGTGTTAAGATCATTCATCAAAATCCCACTTTCATCCCCGTGCTGGCAGCATCTACCCTATCCATTATTCACATTTCATCATCTAATCCAAAAGGTTTTTTGAGTAAGAAAATTCTACCAGGAAATCTAAAATTCAAGGTCTTTGTTAATATACACTATGAAAAAATCGAACTAGGGCAGATTCTTTCATTGGGTTTCAGCTCAACTTCAATTATTTTCATCTGTTTCAATTGTAGAGTTTGTTTCTCTGTAGGGAATAATAATAATAGAAATTATACAAAGCTTGTCTTTGTTCTAGATTTTTTAGAAAACTATGAAGCACATATACGGACGCGGGTATGATACAATACAAACACGACAATACAACAAATCTCACAAAACATGACAAGGGCATGGATATGTCGATCATAAATGCGTATAACAAAGACTCTTGAGATTCTATTGCTCGTATATTGTTCTCCGTTTCGAGTATGATATAGGATTGGCATTCATTTCAAATAAATAATCCCTGAGCAATTCAGGTAAACTGACTTCAAAGGTTCCACCAGCTGAGGTGATCAGTAAGCACGCTTTGCTGAAGCAATGGTGATTTTTGCATGCATGAATGATATTTGTAATGAAGTACATGAGAAGATTCAATGGTCTAGATGCTTAATGAAATCTAATCATATTTTTCTCATTCTACTTTATGTATCATTTGAAAAAGACATAACATCTTTATTTATTTATTTATTTTTATTGTTTTGAATTCATATACTGGTTTGTGTAATTCCTTCTATTTTCTTTGTTTTGTTTAATTCCTTTTATTTTTTGGTGGGTTATGTGTTCTTTCTTGCGGGCTATTTCTCAGTGGCTAACTTTTATAGCATCCGTGATTGATGCAGGAAAACATTATTTGGTGGTGCTCGGCCACGTGAATTGGTAAGTGTTCTTATTGTCATGCAGATATGTATGGAGTTCATAGTTCCCCGTACTTGAAAAACTGAGTATCAAGTATATCCAGCCACCACCTTTTTTATGCCTCTGTAGTTTGTTGGTATTTAATTGTCATTTGTTCTTTATGCTTTCACATGTGTTTTTTTGAAAATTCTTCGGATTTGTCTACACCATTGGTAAAGTTTGGTCCGTGCAACAGTTTTTGCATTTTATTCTAGTTTTCACTTGTGTGTTAATGTACTGAATGTACGTGGCTACAACCTATATCCTGTTATATCGATGGTTCTATAGCTGGCTTTATGAGCTTTTAGCCTGATGGCATTGCTGATCCTGCTTCCAGGTTCTGAAGGAGCGAGGCATTGATGATGTTGCTGTCAACAGTCGTGATCTGAGTCAGCCTCCCAATAGGTAGTGAATACACTTCAATCCCATTCATTTTCTTTTTTCTTCCATTCTTTCATATTTTTTCCCATGTATCAGAGTTTGATGGTTTTAACCTTTTACAGTAGCCATAGTTTGCTGTGATTGTTGAGTTCTAAGGTATTCATGAGTTGGCTAAATTCTTTTACATCAATTGTGTTGTGAAGAGTCGCACAAGATGTACCCAGGTCCCCGAATGTGCCTCTGCATGCAACGCCAACCCGCTACAATGAAAGAGCTGATAAAAATTCCCATGATCATCGGATCGGAAAGAATACTGATAGGCGAGATCACCAGTTGGATGCTGAGAGGACTGATGTGCAGAGGAGGAATTGGCGAAGTGATAATTGGAGCAGCAAGGAAACTGAGAAGGACCGGCAGCAGCAGCAGCAGCAGCAGCAGCCACGCGAGAGGCCGCCTTCGCCAGAGACCTGGCGAAAGCCTGTTGAGCAGCCAAAAACAGCCTCCCATGATGCTGCTGGACTGCGTAATGGAAAAGCGGCTTCAGCGGTTGAGCTAGCCCAAGCGTTCTCGAGATCAATCTCAGATTCAAAGACAGCAGACCGATTTTCTGGCCAAAGAGGCCTCCCTGGCCGGGGCCAGTTGCCTTTTTCTCGGCTGACAGGTCCAACCCCAAGGCCTCAGATTAACAATTACTGAATTTTGAAACGTGCGTCAGATGTTCACTGGTGAAGAGAGAGCGTCACCGGGTATTGTGATTTTAGTTGAAGGATAAAGAATGTGTGCATTTTCAAGCTCTTTGGAGTACTTCGCAGCAAGAGGGCAGACAGACACCTAACTCTGTTTAATTTTACCCCATTACAAGATTTTAAAAATTGATGCTGTTCTTCTGTCAGGGTCTTCCCTCCCCTCCCCCTCCCCCTCCCCCTCCCAATTCCGATGTGCCCTCCTCTTTCTCCTCCAGTTACAAAAAATGAATAAATATGAATAAGAACCCCTTTTTATTATTAAAATTTGGCTTTTACATTATTATTAAGGATGGTGTTTTTATTTTTTCTTGTGAAAATTAGGATGATATTGGCCATTGATTTTGAAAATTAAGGGCTTGGTTTATAATATATGCTATCATGACATGTCTGGGAGTTATTTTGTACGCTGTAGACCTATTGGTACATCTTTCTATTGGAGCATATTTTAGAGCAAATAAATGTAATTTAGGCTCCTTTTGTTTGGACATAAAATATTTTTGAGAAATTTTTATTTTTATTTTTTGGTGTTTGGTTGTTGTAAAATATTTACGGAAAAAAAAATATTAAAATTTAATAAAAATAACTTATTCATTAATATTTGACAAGTCATTTTACTTGTTTTGTCGCGCACCGAAAAAATAAAACGTAACACCGAAAATTGTCGCGCACCGAAAAAATAAAACGTAACACCGAAAAAATAAAAATAAAAAAATATTTTACAAGTGGGAACATCTTTCAATCGGCATTTTTATCAGCTTTTCTATGAATTTGGATTGAAAATTTTAGGTGAAATTATTGTGAAAGTGAGTTGGAGCTTATTTGGCATCTGATGAAGAAAGGAGCTACAACCAAGAAGTAATTACTTTGATATCAATGATACATAGAAGAGGATTCCCAGCATCTGGGAAGCCCCTCAACCTTTCACCACAAGCAAATTTGTACACGTTCATGAGAATACAATAAGCTCAAAAAGAAAAAGAAAAAGAAAGATCCCATTAGAATATGAAAGCTCCTGGGGAGAATGTGGGAATGCTTGGCTCATAGTGAATTTGATGCCTGGAAAAGAAAGAGAGAAGAGAGTAAATATTATATTTTTAACCGGTATATCTCCCCAATCTAAGAAATCAACAAGAAGGGTCATTTCCAAGTGCAATGAAAGAAGCTTGAGTTGTAAAAAAAAAAAAAATAATAAAAAAAAAAAAAAATTCAAAGAAGCCTTTTTGTCCAATAAAATTGGAAAAAGCTAAAGCCTTTTCACACATGAATAAAAATTGAAAATCATGAGATGAAGATACAAACTCCTACCTATAATAATACTGCAAATTAGTCTTTGATCCCAACTTCTCATTCACTTTGTTGCGTGGTCTTGCAGTGCTGCTTTTTTCTTTCTCTGCTACTACTACCTTGACAACATCATCCTCCGAAATCGTGCACAGTGAAGGCCTCCACTGTGCTGCCGGTGCCAAGTTCCTCCCTCCTAACTTGCCGCGCCGGCCGTGTTGTTTGTTCTCACCACAAGACATGGGTACAAGGCTGAGTGTCTCCGCCGTTCGCGGAGGAGTACTTGGTGGTAGCAACAACTTATGTGCGGGGTCGATGCAAAAGCAACATATAAGATCCGAAAGGAATCTCATAGCAGAGCAGTGAAAGTAAATTATTGGATAAAGAAAGGTATCAAAACCTCCACTAACTCTAAGATACTTGGCTATGCATTATTTCTTCCTTTTTCTTGAAAGCACCCACTAATTCTTCAGGAATCAATATTTGTATTTAATTTATAAATTTTTTTTTATTTAAAAAGAATTAATAAAGATTGTGAGAGTGTACTGGGATACCCTCCCATCCGGTAAAGAGATCATGTGTTTGTTTTCCACACGTTTACCAGCAACAAATATATATATATATATATATATAAATGGATGTACACTTGCTACATATGGCATGTAATGACAAAAGACACAACACTAATTTAACTTGAGCGGGACAATGGCATTGCGTAATTTTTGTAGGGTACGATGGATTATTGGGTAAAATCGATAGGCGGCAAGCAAGATAGTGAAGTTTCATTTTATAACATGAAAAAAAACTAAAGAAGAGATAGATACGGTCTGGATTCAATTAAAGATATTTGAAGTAGGCATGTCCATTGTACCAGTCGGTGAAAGCACTTCACCAAATATTCTATGGTTTGAGAACCTATCTCATATTTATGTTATGGCTTATGACTAAGTTCATTGGCTTCCTACGAGTGATTCTTTATATGTAAATTAATTACGATGACGATTAATCGAAGAAATATGATCAATCATTTTTATTTTTTTGGGTGGAAGGTTAAATAATTTTATATACTCATATTCCACGGAGGTTTGAATTCTCAAATTTTTTATTTTTATTTTTTTGGAGAGATGAGTTTGTACCAGTTGAACTATTAACCTTTTAATAAGGATGAATTTTCATATAATCAATAATAATGTATATTTTTTTTTGTTACTGCAAAACATATTGACAACTGTACATAATTTGGTTGGAACGAAGAATCTACACTTAGACGATGTTTGAATCATTTTGACAAATAAATGTGTTCTTTGTGTATAAGATATTTTCCTAGATCAATTCGAATGGTTCTAATTTGTTTAGAAAATCCGAGGAACCATATATATGTCAAAGCAATTAGATATAAATTGATATAATTTTTTTAATTGTTACATTGTTAAGCCTTGATAAAAATTAGCAATAATTTTCCTCTGGATTTTCAAAGGAATAAAGAGAATTTTTTACTCAAATTAAAATGGTAATAAATACCACCGGACGATAAGGCCCTTGATAATTTGATTTATCAAAGCTTTTATAAAATGTGGAATATCATCATTTATTTATTTTTATTTTTTATTTTAAAATTTTAATGATCATTTAGGTGGACAATCTGAAACAAGGGAATATCTGAGCCAACCACCAGAATAGAAATTCAAAATTGGTTATTACTCCTAACATATTAGATTCGACAATTTCATGATTAAAATACATATACAAATGATCTTTTAGTCAACAGGTTTAGTTGACCAACCATATCTACCATCTCTAAATTAGATTTTAAATTAATCAGGTGATGCCCACAATTAGGGTGATTGATAGTCTTGTGGAACTGTCATGATGGACCAAGGCCCAGTCCAGCTCCAGGCCCAGTCCTCAGTGAAGGCAAGGCCCTAGCCTATATGACCCACTACGGCCCTTAAGTGCCTCCAGCACAGCATAATATGGGCTGCGCATATGGAAACTTGGCCAGGCTTTGTACTTGCTCGGCAGAATCCTTAAGGCCTTTTATTCTAAAAAGTGACATAAATTTATGTATATAACTATATAACTATATATATATATATTCTTATAACCCTTACAAAATGCTTAGATTATACCAAACACCTTATATAATTATGTTATAACATATATATAAGTGTATGTGTTATTTTATTATATTATTCGGTCCTAATTTTATCCATGTTAACTTTGTTCTTCCCTTTACTATAATTTTTTGCGTATGTCCAAGCCATCTACATTGATTTTCACTAATTTTTATCTCCAATTGTACGTGCTACTTCAGCCATTTAATAATTTTTTATTATTATTTTTAATTCTATATTTTCTTGTCCTGCACATTCGCTTAACATTTTCGATTCTGTTTAACCACTTTATATACATCTTGTTTTTTAACCGCCCAACATCTTGTTTCTTAGCCGCCCAACATTTTTGCCCATAAATAATGATCAATCTAATAGTTATTTTTATATAACCTAACTTTTATTGTTTTGCTGGTATTGGTGACTAAATGCAGTCTTTCCATTTAATCAATCTTGCCTTGATTTTATGTTTAACATCATCTCCGATTACTCCATCACTAGGAATAGTTGATCCCATATAATAGATATTTTGTTTAGGTACTTATAAATTTAATAAAGTTGAACTTCATCTATTTTGTTTATTCCTACTTATCTTAAACATTTATAATTCTAAAATTTCCCTCCAAACCTCCAATTTACCATTGACACCACCTCCAATTTCATCAATAAAAATAATATCACCATCATGCAAATGCCCTATGGAATATTATATTGTGTGCGCCTTGTCAGTTTATCCATAACAAAGCAAAAATGCATAGACTTGCTACTGATTTTTTATTTAAGCCTATAATAATTGAAAATTTACTAGTTTTTCTCATAGTCAGAGGCGAACCGGGCTAAAAATTTCATTATTACCCACTTCACATGAATTTTTGAATTGTTCTACTCATAATCATTCAAATATGGTCACACATTGTAACAAGGTCATTAGTCCCATATATCATAATAGAAAAGTGATTAGGTATAAATGAGTGAGTATGCAGCACTACTCAACGAACTTTTGAATAAAATAGACAAGTGCCTATCCATTACAGTTAGTATTAAAGTCAGATTTAATTCTTAATCTGGTACCACGCCAAGCACCCGGCTCGAAAGGCATCCGGGTGAGCCTTCTCGGATAAGCAGGATAGCTCGAGCCGCAACAAGAACATTATAAATTTGGGTAAAAAAAAATGTAACAAGAGTTATTTGTTTCCCATTAAATTCAAATGAAAATGTAATTAAATATAATTGAACAGATATAACACACCCCATCACACGCTTTGCTATATGACCTTGTCATTCAATAAAAATCAAATGAAGATATTTCTTCTTTTCTTTATATCTTTTTATTACTCTCCTCACTTAGCAAACAACCTCCATCATTGACCTCTTAGTATGAATTCAACTTGATATTCCAACTCTTTGGTTTTTTTGTCTTTGTCATTTTTCAATCACTATCATCATAATATGATTCATTAATCTAATATCTAATTTTTCTATTTTCTTTCTCCCCTTAATATATATATATATATATATATTAGGTTGACAAAAAAATTCAAACACAGCTTAACTCCCATGCGACTTAAACTCTGGCCTTCTACTTTTAAAAGTGAAAAAACAAATCCAAAAACACAGCTTAACTCCCATGCGACTTAAACTCTGGCCTTCTACTTTTAAAAGTGAAAAAACAAATCCAAACTACAACTCTTGAAACTTAATTTAACAAATATATATATATATTTCCCTCAAATTTATACTGTATGTTATTCTGGCTATTTTTGTGGTTAATTTAAAACAAACATTCTTTACTAATTTGTCACTGCAATTTCTTGAAATGGAAGGGGATAGTTTTAGTTGATGATTGATGGACATGGACTTCAGAGCAGTCAACCTACTCTTTGGTGGGTCTAGCTTCTAGCCAAAAGTTGGATCTCATTGTCAACTGAACCCACTACCAAAATTGGCGGTAAAAAGTAGAGAATTATCACTGGCAATGGACCATAGAAGGTATGGAGAGAGAGAGCCATTTTTTTATTAGTGGTCTGTCTACCATTTGGAATCCCTATTATATATATATATATATATATTACACACACACACACACAGAGAGACTCTCTTTTTCTAAAAGTCTCGGCAGCTTCTTATTCCTTCACTGACTAGCATTTCTCTACTATGCTCATTGACCAAGCTGCAGCATACCAAATGCGAATAAAACTTCCTTGCTTTCTTCTGAAAATTTGATTAGAACTGGGCTTTCCGATTTGTTACTGTTGAAATTACTGAAATGTGCTGTGATCTTGAAGTAGATGTCAATGACGAACAAACTTTCTTGGTGGATAAGGTAATTTTGCTTTTCCTTTCCACGTCTCTCACTATCACTCTGTTCCATTCCATTTCTTGTTTACTACAATTAGAGTTTTGCTGTGTATCTTTATTCTCTACGCTTTATATTGCAAATTTAAATTCTCTGTTTTGCAATCACACTCTTGAGCAACTCATATGCTATTATGTACTTATTAGTAGTTACTATGAACAACTTTACCTGTCACAGCAATATTTTCCTTAATGAGTGCAAATTTCTCATTAGTAATACGTACTTTGTGCGCTTTATGTGATATATATATATATATATAGCCTCCCTGTCTCTCTCTTTTATTTTATTTTTGTTTTGGTGATAAATTTTGGTTTTCTCTGAATGTTGTTCTGCTTGAAAGTTGTGTTTTTGTTGCTTGTATTCTGTTTCCTTTTGGATTGAGAGCTTTGGCTCCTTCTAATAAAATCGTACTTACCCAAAAAAAAAAAAAAAATTTGTTCAACTGTCTCACAAATTTTTTTGTGCTATATATTTTTGCAGAAAGTTCTTACATCTTTCTCAGGTAGATTAAGCAAATTATTTGGTAAATTGACCGGTTCCACGAGGAAACTGAAAGTGATATTCCCTGACTTCCCGGGAGGTGTAGAGGGTTTTGAGCTCATTGTGAGGTTTTGCTACAACAATGGAAGAATTGATATGTCTCCCTCTAATATATTTTTGCTATCCTGTGCTGCTAATTTCATGGAAATGAATAAAGACAGCTCAAATATGCCCAATTTAGTAGGCCAAATTGAGAAATACCTTGATGGGATCAACTATTGGACCTGGTCTGATTTTCTAGTTGGTTTGAAACAGTGCCAAAATTTGCTTCCATTCATGAGTTCTTCGTGTATACTTCACGATTTCTTGAAGTTGTTCGTAGTAAAGCATGATTTTCATACTGTTTCAAGCCCTTCTACTTCATCCTCAAACATTTCTAGTCCTCAAATTTCGTTTGATGTAAATGCTGACAGTATCAGAAACCAATGTTCGCGAACTACTTGGTGGTTTGAGGATCTTGTCTTCATGAACATTAATTTGTTTGAAATGGTGATAAAGACAATGATATCACATGAACTTGATCACACTATGATATGCTCCTTCCTCTTTTATTATCAAAAATCGAGTTCTCTAGGTGCCTCACCACTTCAGAAGTGCAAAATCACCGAGACTCTAATCAATCTGCTTTCTATGCTTGATGGGAGCTGCATTTCTTGTAGAGGTCTATTCCATATTTTTCGAGTTTCTTCAAGTATGGAAAAACTTAGCAGATGCTGCAAGAACAAGTTAGAGAATCTGATTGGTTCTCGGCTTGATCAAGCTACATTGGACGATTTGCTTGTTCCACCTCCACGCCACCAAAGTTGCATGTATGATGTGAATCTGATTCTGAGATTTCAGAAGTCATTCCTCCTTAAAAGCAGCAACCGGTTTTTCCTATATCGATTGAAGAAAGTTGCTGCCTTGATGGACTTGTACATGGCTGAAGTAGCCCCAGATCCCGGCCTGAGGCCTTCCAAATTCGTGGCATTGGTGACGGCCTTGCCAGACTTTGGAAGGGACTTTTTTGACCAAATATACCAAGCTTTGGACATGTATCTTGAGGTATGATTAATGCTAATCTTTAAAGCTAGTCTCTTGTGATTTTATCTATATATCCACTAGTAACATTGTATATTTGTTAATACACATGTACATCTAAATTTCAGTAATCGATTTGTGTGTTGTGAAAGAAAAAACCAAGAGTTACTGATTATTAGTTTATAGTTGATCGCGTAGATTAAAAGAGAATTGGCTTTGTAGTTTGACAATGTAAATCATTTCCCAATTGTAGTATATATCAACTTTAATCTTCATAATAGAAGTCAACAATGTGTTGGATACAGTTTACTAAATGTTTCATATGTATATTGACATTATTTTTTGACAGGTCCATTGTAGTTTATGTGAAGAGGAAAAGATAACATTATGTTCTTCACTGAATTATGGCAAGCTCTCACCAGAAACTCTTAAACACCTAGCTCAGAACTCGAATTTTCCAGAGAGTATGGTAGTCACTGCAATTGTCTCTCGGAAATCCAAGCTCGAAAGCCTCCTCCAGGACACACTCCATCTTAAGACCCTGAGCGACTCATTACTACACTATAATAAGAAGGGCAATGAAGTTAAGAATGGTGATGCTGAAGAAATCCTTCTTTATGTGAACACACTCGGTCTTTCGACAGAAAATGAGAAGCAGATAGGTGCACATATTCAAGGTATGCAATGGGGGGTGATGGAATTGAAGAAGGTCTGCCGGAAAATGCAGCCCCAAATGGCAAATACCATGCAACCGACAAAAATGTGATTCGATTCATCTACCTATTGATTTGTATACTATGATGTGCCACACAGTTGAATTATATATATTCTTCTTGAAAAGTAAATAAGAAATGAATGCAGTTTCCTTTAAGCTTTGACGGAGGTAAAGTTGCATTACATCTAACTCTTTATAGATTCCGCAATGGCCGGAGCCTCCTGTGGGCAAGCCCTTTCATTAGTTTGCCATGGTCATCTTCTGACATATTTCAATTGAGATAACAAAGTAGTTGTTTATCTAGCCATTGGCTTCACTTGGTTCCTCAGAAAATTTAGAAAGACTAAAAGTCATCAAGCAACATACATGCATGCACAATAATTATATGCCTTAAATCTGTCGAAATTGGTGTCATATGGACATAGTCCTCAAATACTTGAAAGTAGAAATGTGGCATGCCCAAACAGCAGTTTCAATTTATCTTTTTCCAGGGAACTAAAATTCGTACCATTGTTATAAAACCGTATCAATTAATCTCGAGTAGCAATAGGAAAACGATATGTGGTTCGATAGTTAGACTAATCTGACTGTTTCATTGTCAGTGGAAGATATCCAATTGTAACTGTCCTGCTAACAACGGTGAGGTCCACACCCTCCCTTCACAAATAGTGTGGTCGTCGGATTAGTTCGATTGTCGAACATTGTATCACAACTCTAAGCAATAAAAGAGTCCCAACTCGTCATCACTGAATGTGATCTCTATTCATCGGAAGGTGACTAGATAGTAGATATAAAAATCTAACTATGAATAAGTTTAAGAACTAAGTCACATAATATTGATTTTACGCTTCGAATGCGCTTCCGTTCTTACATTCTGAACTCGCTATCACTTAAATTCCTAATACTCGTGATTTAATTTTGCTGTTCTTACGTTCTCGCTCTTGAATTGACTCTCGCTCCCGCTTTATGTGACTTAGCCTAACAAACCAAACAAACCAAAAGACTTGTTTGAATTTCAGAGAAGAAAACTTGGTGTTCTCAATGTTCAAAAAGGTATTCTTTATATAAAATGTGTGTATATACATATTTAATTAAGATCTATGGGAATCTGAATTTGTCTAAAGTCGAGGATCTTAAATGCCCATTAAGATAATGAATGGATGTTTCTAAAGAATATTTGTATTGACCGTCGAGCCAAGTCTTACCCTGCAGCGAGCGATGCGGCAAACAACATGCAACATTGCGGTGCTCACTAAGACAGAAGAAACATCAATTTGAGGAACCCTAAGTTTGTACAGACATCTTAAATAGAGTTGTGATTACCAAAGCTTTGTTTTTAAAAGTAGTATATAGTTCACCACAAAACACATAAGAAAATATTACTGTATTAGACATTTTTAATAGGTCATGATTATGAAAATATTTATTTTTCTCACATGGACCATGTAAACAGAACAAATTTCCTGCATGTGATTTTAAAATATTTGTTCATTTGACTCATATATTTGAATTTTAATAATAACAGTGAAAGACATAAATTGAAATTTATTGTTAAAAAGAAAATCTTACTTCATAAAACCAAATAAAACTATGATGGCACATCGATTATTGATATATCCTTTCAATTCATAAAATTTATGTAGTGTGATAGGGGGAGATGAACATATATACAATAAAACATTGTGTTGAATATAATAATAATAATAAAAAAAAATGGGGTTACTAACTTCTCAGGAAAGATACTTTTGAAGAGTTCATTTTTGTTTTAAAATGAAAAAAATTAGTTAGTTATCTTGCAAAAAAAAAAAAAAAAATGACTGCATGCATTAGTGCATTTGCTCTGCATTTTTATTTATTTATTTTATGTGAGATGGTTAATTTTCTATATTATTATTTGTCATTAGCTACTATTGATTTTTGTCATTGGCTTTAGAGTGAGCACAAGAACCCATTGCGCCAAAACCGTTTGGGTATTCCCACCTAATTAATACTAGTATCAAAATTTACCAAACAAAAGGTAGATAATAATAATAGTAAATAAAAGATTTAACATATTTTAAAGATTAATTTAGTAAATTCGAAAAGGGTTAGATATTCAATATAGTATGTCTTATTGGAAGGGAAGAGGCTCATAAATGCAATTTGTAAGGGTCTAAAAATTAGATTATCGAAATGTTTGGGCCAACATTCTTGAAATCAACAAATCATATTTTCTTGTGACAAACTAATCAAGGAAAAACATTTTTGATTAGGGTTCCAATCTACTGGAACCAGAGAGCATTAATGAGTCGACAAAGTCAAGAAGACACTCCCCGGGTTGCATAACATGTTCTTAGGTCATGATCCGAAGCTGTAGACATTTTTTATATGACATTGCTTGAAGTTTTCGGGATACAACATAAATACATGCACAGTCCTGCTACTTGGGCCCAATTCGGCGAAGCCGAAAGATCCAAGGTGGTTGGTATGGGCTTACGCCGAAATCGAACACCCCCCCCCCCCCCCCCACACACACACACACACACACACAGACACAGAGAGAGAGTTTTGGAGTGTTTTTTAGTTAGGAGTGACACCATTTGCCACTATGATTTCGACACGATTAATTGTGTTCGTGTCATAATTATTTTTTGAATAATTCATATAATTAATCGTATCATGTTTTGGAACTCATTTTGTTTAATTTGATTAGATTGGTTTAATTAATAGTGTGATAATTGTGTCAATTTAACCTGATTAACCCTAACTTGTTTCAACCCAATTAATATGATTATGTGGACATTTTTGTTATTTCAATATAAATCAAATATTGATATTATATTTTCAGTTTTTTGTTTTTCTTTTATAATCATATTGTCCATATTATCCTTATTTTCAAATTTTAGTCATCAATATATTATGCTATTTTTTCTTTATATTTGTATTTTATAATTAAGTTAATAAACAAGTTAGATTACTCAAAAATAAAAACAGGTTAGATACATTATTAAATTGATCGTGTTGTGTATGAGTCATGTGACCCATTTATTATAAGAATTGCGTTATATTATTTATTTAATAAATGAGTTGTGTTCAGAGTCCTTGACACGAGTATTAAAGTAATCATATTCAAATTGAGTGAATTATTATTATTTCAAAAAAATTGAGTGAATTGACCACTATAATAGAATTCTATTTGCTCCACACAGCACATGAATACAAATTGCTAGCAGCAAATTCTAGTGGGATGTGTATGGGAAGGTAAGTGAGATCATTTGTATTGTTAGTCCACTGCTATGCTAAACTTTATAATATAATTAATATATATATATATATATACACAAACACACATATACATATTTTCTTATTTTTTTTAGCTACTTATTTACTTTCCAGTAAAGCTAAAATGAAAACTGCAGTTGTCACCCGGTGAAAATGACCCTCCATAAGTGCCATCTAAAGACATAAATGTGTAGCAGCTGGGTGATCTACAGTTTACATGTACCATTATCATAATATACTTTGTATATATATATATATATTTTTACATTTGTTATTATTTCATAATATACCCAGTTCATTTAGTTACTTTACTTTTAACTTTGTAGTTCGATTGGTGATTCATTAATTCATTCACCCGCTTTTCATTTTGATAGGAGTATGCGCTCTACTTATTTTCTTTAAGAAATAATTCCGTAACGATTCAGATATTTTAATCTATTATTTATAAAAATAAAAATAAAAGGATTTAAGCAACGATTAGTTTGAATTTTGAAATTAATATTCAATTAGAGAATAAAAAAAAAAATTATTTTTTACTCTAATTCTATTAAACTTTTCAAAATTTGAACAAAATGGTCCAAACAAATCTATAAAACAACAAAATGGTCCACTGTGTAGAGGCACTCTCAACTGTCAAATTTTTGTTTGCACTTGGGTCATAAATTCAGAATAACCGGGCCACCAATATTGCTTATATGTTAGGCCTTATTTCCTTTGGACCTTAAGGGGACATTTATCCTAAACCCAAAACCCTAAAAAAAACAAAATGGTCCACTGTGTATAGGCACTCTCAACTGTCAAAATTTTGTTTGCACTTGGGTCATAAATTCAGAGTAACCTGGGCCACCAATATTGCTTATATGTTGGCCCTTGTTTCCTTTGGACCTTATGGGAACACCTATCCTAAACCCTAAAAAAAATAAAACGGTCCACTGTGTATAGGCACTCTCAACTGTCAAAATTTTGTTTGCACTTGGGTCATAATTTCAGCATAACCTGGGCCACCAATTTTGCTTATATGTTGGGCCTGTTTTCTGTGAAAGTAACGTACTCAGATACTTCTGAAATGCATATATATATATATATATATATATATATATATATTAATTTCTAATATATTCAACATTTCTCATATACTTCATAACATATTTTTATCAAGTTTAAACATTAAAATGCGACTTTTACACGTTCCAACGATAATAACATAGTATAATTATTAAAAAAATATAAAAAGTAAATTAATAGGTATGTGGTCTAGCGGTACCCGACCCTTTCTTTTTAAAGGGAGGTTAGAAGTTCAAATCTCGGTGGAAGTATGTCTATATGAATACCAACTAGGAAAAGAAAATTATTAAAAAAAGTTCAAAATTTATTAAGTTATGATTAGAGATGTTTGTTTTATGTATTGTGAAACAAAATTGTCATTTTAATGGTTGCATTTAGATTCATAATATTTTTTAAAAATTAATATTTATCTATATATAAATAAAATTTATTAATTTTCTATGAACGTATCATGATTTTTTATTTATTTATTTTTATTTTTAAAATTTGTCCGAACTTATCCTAACCGGACACCTTACATAACTCCGTAAATTAATAGGGACAAAGCCCTTGAATACCCGATTAGCCTATATATATATATATATATATATATATCTATTCTACTTACCTGATGACACTACACGGTTATCCAAAAAAATATCTTCTACTCACTGGATATTTTCTCTTTCCCAAGTCAGAAGATGCATCATTTTTCGTTAATCAATTGCTAAGACAGCTGTAACCCG